TCTTCAGAGCAACTTCAAGAGGAGAAGCAGGGAATTGGGGCGCAAGAACCGGCAGGAAATATTGAATTAATAATTATGTAGATACGAATGCTTGATATGTGCATATTTTTACGATGCACAGACCAAAGCCGTTTCCCTCTGCCCCGGCCACTAATTAGGGCGCATCACAGAGAACATCTTCCCTTCAGGCGGCGGTTCCGTTGCGATCTGTTCAAGCGCGTCCCCCCCGATGTTGCACGTCCAGTTTCAGGGGTGGAAGAATGATCCTCAACATCCTAGCAGGTTGCTTCTTCCGTTACAGGTACAAGTACAAGTACAGGTACAGGTACAACCCACCCCTGGATGACAACATTTAAATAGTCAAAACGATCACTTCACACTATGCGAGCACAGGAGAGACGAGGATTCCAACTGAGATTCCACCACCATCCACCATGTGCATTGTATCTGTGTTACCTCCACGCGTATCGTATGTTTGTGTGAGTGTAACGTCCGTCTGGCGGAGGGTTGCTAGACCATCTAATTATCATTTTTCAACATTCGTCTGAGGCTCTGTCTCTGGCTCGTCTCAGGTGTCGGAGTCCAAGAGTCAAAGACATCATCAGGTGTAGCCCTGCTTGTTCCTTGTTCGTTTTTTTTTTTATTGTCCAGGGGGACGACGAGTACCAAGGATTTCGTTGATGCACGACTGAGCGCAAAAGAAACGTTTTTCCTTTGTTCCATCGTCCATCCCCAAATCGTATTCGTGACCCTCATCTCGTCCCTACTTCGCGTCCTGGCTGGCTGGCAATTACTTCAAAATGCGTTAATGTTTTGTGTCCCTTTCCCCTTTGTGATCGTTGAGTGGATGGATGGGATGGTAGGGATGGTAGGGATGGATGGATGGATCGCGGGGCTTTGTCTGCCTGCAGTTCACATTCCCCGGTACGTCACACTTCACTCGATTCCGCTTGACTCCGCGGCTTTGGTTGGCTTTTTGAGTGGCAATCAGATCAGAGACGGGGCAACGGGCGGGCGGGAAACCTTCTCGCTCCGCTCCCTATTCATGCCTCTGCAGTGGCATTCATTGCCACTGGGGAGGGCATCCTGTTGCTTGCTGTTGCATGAAACAGGATGGCAGCGAGCGTGTAATATAACAGTTACCCCCCTCCCTCACTCCGATCTTGCTACATCACCCCCGAGATCGTTCAACTGTTGCCTGCATACATATGATTTTTTTCATTACCATTTTCCAATTTCCAATTTCCAATTTGAATGCCGCCTGTATAAAGGAAACGATAAATGACTGGATATTGCTGTTGATTCCGCTTCCTGCCACTAACTTTCAGGCTGCATGGTGCAGGGTGCAGGGTGGGAACTGCAACAGTTTTAATTAATTTTCAAATTTGTTGAGCAACTTCCCTCAACTTGCATTCAAGGTTCCCCCGCAAGACCCCAAATCACCAACAAGCAAACAAAAAAAAAACACACAAAAAAGCTTCTCATTGCCGGCGGCTTGCATGCGCAGAGGAGAGACAAAGCACGGCGGAAAAAAGACCAAACAAATCAAAATCAATTTGTCAAGCGACACTTGCCACCGTAAATAAAACTGGGCAACAAGCAGTGGCAGTGGCAGCAACAACAAGAGCAGCAGCAGCAACAGCGGCCACAGAGGCAGTCACAGAGGCAGCCACACAATAACCAAAAACAAAAAAAAACAAAAAACGAAGCATAAGACATTCGAACGGCAATCAGAAATCAAAACAAAAACCGCTAAAATAACAGAAAAAAAGAACAGCATAAAAATAAAATAATACAAAAAAAAAAAAGTGGAAAGTTAGCTTAGGGCAGCCGAAGCATTAGATACCCTTGCGGGGCGAGACTGTGTTTATGACAGCTACATTTATGATGTGATATCCTCATTTCATTTCGTCTTGAATATAACTTGGAAACTAAGAATATTTTATGGCTAATATTGAAGATCCATTTGAATTGAATCTTAGCACGTAAATTATGCAAGCTAAAAAATGTCCACTCTACATTATTTGTGTACATACCATTATGAGATAAAATGCAAATTGAATTATTTAATGTTGGAATTACATTATTGGATTGTAAAATTGCAAAACTATTTTGACACGAACGATTTTTTCCCACAAAGATATGATCAATGATTGGTCAGGACTTAAAGCTGTGGATACACAAAATAAAGACAGATAGATATAAACATATATACGTTATATATACTTAGAACATATATAAAGGGGATATCTGTATATTTATATACAGATGATATTGATTCTGCTGCTGTGCGGCCGTGCATCTAATCAAAATCATAGTACCCTCCACGAAGGGTAGACACAAAAGTTGGCGCGCATGCGCAAACAAGTTTTAGACAAAAGAGAGTCAGAAATGGAGAGGGAGCGAGCCAGTGAGTGCGAGAACAATCGGAGGTTTTCGAGCCGGCGAGCGGCAAACGCGTGGTAAGAGACCTATCTGCTCTCGTCGCCTATCCTCTCCTCTCTGCCCATCCCATCCCCATCGACACCATTCAATTGTTAGAGGAGAAAGAAACCAGGAGAGGAGGCAGCAGGGCAACCCATACAAATGAGTCAGGGCTGGGGTTGGGGCTGGGGCTGGGGCTCCATCGATCGACAATTGAAACAGGACAGGATCCGCTCACTGCTCACGTTGGCGCGTCTGGCGAGGATTGGGGGGAGGCAGGGAGGCAGGGAGGAATGGAGCAGTATGCAAATTGTTGTAAACCGACGCGACAACTTCATTTGTCCAACGGAGCTTCGGCGGCGGCCAACGGAAACGGGCAACGGCAACCGTTGGCCGAGGATGGTTATGGAACTGGGAGTGGGGAGTGTAATGGGAGTGCGGCACGTCGCCAGCTAAATTGAGGTTAAGTAATGCAGTCAAATGCGTGAAAAATGGCAAAAGAACAAATAAAAGCCAGCCACAAAAACTGGGCAGGGCCAAAGGAGGACAAGAGTGAGCGCGCGTACTCAGAGTGTCAGCCACTGAAGACGAAGAAGAAACACACGAAAAAAGGCGACATAGGACTCGGTGCGTGACGGCAACATAAAACGTCGACACGTTGCCAAAAGATGTTGTCATCATCATCATCATCATCTACCAGCAGCAACAGCCGCAACAGCGGTACGAGTACCAGCAGTACCAGTATCTACCAGCAACACCTTCATAATCATTCGTGAGCCTCAAAACCTGATCCCCGATTAGCATGCAAACATTCCTGCGATTGATTTTTTTGGGTCAGCATTGCGAAAAAACTGATGTCTGCCTGTCTCTGGCCCCGTCAGCACTCTGCGTGAGTGTGTCCCCACCGCCTGACCCCACCTGCAAGTCGAACTTGGACTCCGACTTGGGTTTGTGTTTGGGGGATTGATAATTAATTTCGGCATGGCAGTTGCCTAGTTGGCCGACGGACACTCGAGGCTGACACCACGCGACACCTGCCTCTGCCTCTGTCTCTGCCAGCAGCTTTGGGGCCAAAATAATACAAGGCCTTCTCTGGCGCGTAAACTGGTTGGGTTGCCATTGGCAGCAAACATTTGCCGTTTGCCGTTTGCTCTTTGCGCGCGGCTTCTAATCCGTTTGGAATTTCAGACACGCCAAAGTGGCGCACCGGCTGAGCGGAGCGGAGCGGAGTGGAGCTGAGCTGAGCTGAGCATGCCACTGCCACAGCAATAGCAACAGCAACAGCCAGAGGCTGCCAGGCCAGGTTGGTTGTCGTCCACTTGGTGGCTTGGCCTGGCTTGGCTGGTGTCTGCTGCTGCTGCTGGCAAAATGTCAAGTGTCTGCCTCGGAAATGAGGCCGTTGTGGTTGTGTGGCAAAAGAAGAAGACAAAGCTGCAGCCAGAGTGAGACTGCAGCTGGAGGAATGATCTATCTAGAGGAGAGCTCCATGGAGTGGTGACATCTTATTTGGCTGAAGGATGCTTCGCTTGAGTGGTTCTGGTTTACTCTCGGAGGTACCCTGGAACGTCAGGAGATGGTATTTGGATTGCGTTCAATGCCCACTTAGGGGCGTTGCATCCTCTGTCTATGGTGGCACTCCAACTAGTGTAGACAAGAGACTCGTTTATCGTAGGGATATTTGCAAAGAAAATGTATATAAAAAAAACGATTTGATACCAGTTATTCTTCCATATTTTTCGCCTTGCTTTTTTCATTATTTAATGGAATATCCTCTAGGCCCCATGTGTCGCATGATAAATTATTTTCAGTTGCCCAAAACATGAGGTTGTTCATTTATTACTTTAGTACTTTAGTACTCAATTTGGTAACGATCTATTTTGACCTATAAATTTTGCATACATTTTGAAGATTTCTTAGATTTTTTGTAGATAAAATTTCATGCACAGACCTATACATTGTATACTTTTATTACGTATATGGCAACCTTCAGTGGATCCCAAAAAACACTCATCACAATTCCCTTTCGCCACTCGAGCATCACATTTTGGATTTGATGAAGGAGCTGGTACCCCTCGACCGGCCCCAGCACACGCCATGCGAAATAATAACAGGCCATTCGCCTTGGATCCGACCGCCCAATCACTTGATCACATGTTATGCAACCCAAAAGATACAAAGATACAAACAGAGCGACAGAGAGAGAGAAAGAGAGAGGGATAATAATAAAAAAAATAATAACAGCATTGCCAAGAGAGAAGAAAAACTACATTTTCACGCAAGTGGATGGATGGAAGTGAAATGAGCCGATGACGACGACGACGACGATGAACGAAAGCCAGTTGCAGTTTTCCCCCAAAACAGCGTCTGCTGCCTGCTGTCTGCCGACTCGACTAGCCAGCCATCAGCACACGCCACGCCAGGCGACGCCAGTATGGGTCCCATCTCCCCCCTCCTACCATCTCACAGCCCACAACTGACTCCCGATCCGATCCCGAACGTAGTTGAAATTGCATGCCGAATTCGCCAGACAACAGACAACCCAACCAGTTTCACTTGCGAAAGCAAACAGCTTCCATTTCCATTTCATTCGACAGTCGACCGCCGTTAGCTGGAAACGCGTTTCGGGCCCGAGCATCGCTAAAATCAAAAGTACTCCTCGTACGCGCAAACTCCCGCAGATCCCATCCCATCAGTTCAGGAGCAAGAGATGAAGGAGGCCGATCTGGAGGAACAGTATGCCCGATTTCCGGAGATCAAGCGGTCGGAGGTGCAAAAGTTTATCGAGTGGATCCACGTCCAGCCGCACATCTCGGATCAGTTTTCGGAGGGCGAAGCCCTGCATTTCTTCTACGCCTGCCGGTACAGCATGGAGGTGGCGAAGCAAGTGCTGGACATCAATCTCACCGCACGCACCCACCTAGATGAGTTCTTTGTGAACCTCGACTGCGAGCGACCGGAGCTGCGACGTGCCATGAAAACAATGTAGGGCCTAGCTTGAGTACTGAGAATTCTATCCAAATTATTTCCAAGTGTAATTATAGTTCTATTGTGCCCCTGCCTGGCGCCACTCCCGAGGGCTATCGTGTGATTGTCACCAAATTGGATGACCTCAATGCCTCCAACTATAACTTTGCGGATGTCATGAAACTGTAAGTGAAGTCAAGAGAGTCCCGAAAAATTTGTGATTACGTCCCGAATACTTCTGCAACTCGAACACTATTAAACCTAGTGGAACCTAGAAGAAAATCCTTTCCTTTTTTTTGCCAGATTTCTGCTTCACCTCTCTTGTGGCTATCTTTACCCAGGCAATTCTATTTATATATATATTGCGAATTCAAAGTCAAAAAGCAATGTACTCGTAATTCCCCAAAACACTTGCTTGACCAGTCCGAAAATGATTGCCAACTTAGTTAATTGCAGTTTGCACGTCATTTGGCGAGCGGGACGGGTAGCGTGATTATGACAAGGAATACGGTAACATGAAAAGATTAAGGTCCGAAGTGTTTAATGTCAACAGTGCACACCCCGAACACAACCCCAACCCCAACCCCAGCCCCGAGAAGCGAGCCCGAATAGTTGTCTGTGCACGCACACAAAATACAGATACAGATGCAGCAGATACAGTAGCACACTCACTGAGATACTCATTTATCTGGCACTAGCACAGACCTAAGTAGATGTGTGCGATCTGTATAATGGTTGCCAATTAAAATATAGCAATTAAATTAACAATTTTAACGGGGGGTACTAATATCTCTATGCTAGCCGCATGGCTAAACGATCGGAGTTCTGTTCACTTTCAGATATTGCATGATATTTGACTTCTGGATGTACGAGGATGGCATACAGCCCGGACATGTGATTGTAATCGATCTGAAGGGCTGTGCCCTGGGGCACTTGGCACGCATTGGATTGCTACAAATGAAGAAATTCCTTTACTACCTGCAGGTGACTTTCCCGACTTGACTCTTAGTTAAACCAAACGTTAGACGTTCCTTTGTTGTAGGAAGCGGCGGCTATACGACTGATTGGTTTCCACTTTATCAACATTGTGCCCTTCATGGACAAGATTATGGCGCTGATGAATCCGTTTATGAAGAAGGAGCTGACAAGCGTTCTCCATATGCACAATGACATCAATGATTTCTATAAATTTGTACCGCGCGAAATGCTGCCCAAGGACTACGGCGGACCGGGGGAGGAAACCAGTCTGGCCAAAGGTGAGCCTTAGATTATAGTTTGCATGGATTTTATCTATTATTATATATATTGACACATTTGCAGAGATATATTACAAGAAACTGTTGAACAATCGCAGGGAAATGCTTGAGTTTGAGACGCGCCATCAGGTCAATGAGAAACTGAGGCCTGGAAAAGCCAAGACCGTCTCCGATGTCTTTGGCATTGAGGGTAACTTCAAGAAGTTGGACATTGATTGAACATTTTGTGGCATTACGATCATCATAAGGGAGAATTCATTTTGCATTACAGGTGTTTGCTAGCATAATAAAATGTGTGTGTGTGTTGTAATTGTTTATCATTTACTTGTTTAGTGGATAAATCAAGATTGAGTAATCATTCGAACGATTTCTAACATGTAGTTACATTTTAATTGCTATCTTCTGACTTCAATAATGCAGCTTTGCTTGTTTAAGTATACATACAATCTATGTAATCGATGTAATGTGATTGATTCTGTTGTTAGTGAGAATGTGGATGATCCTTAGGTGTGTTTGCAACTCATACTTGCTATGCTTAGCCTATCTACTTAGTGTAGCTTTTCTCTTACACCTATCTTTTAAAATTACACAAAAATGACTTTTTTTTATACACTCCTTCGGTGCGAGATCCTCTTCTCGTAATCTCTGGTAGTCCGTTGCCAAAGACTTAATGATATTATCTGCAACAAAAAAAGAGGGACTTTAGTTATGTAAATGATATCAGGTGTTGTAAATATACTTATTAAGGGTTCTCCTTTATTTAATACGGGGTTACGGGGTAAAGAAAAAAAATAAAAAGAATCTCTTTTCTGAGATATTTAGAATATCTGGGAATTATGTAGAAAAAAAAGATGTCCTCATCCATCACAGGCAGTCTCTTCAGGTGGGAAATTATGTACTCCTTACAGTTTACAGTCAGTCCCAGTCCCCTTGCTTACTGCTGAAACTGCATTTGGTTCACTTGGTTGTGGCGCATTCCCATCGTACTGTTGCCATTGTTGGTGTTGCTGCTGCTGCTGCTGTTGCCATTGCGGTTGCGATTTTGACCTCGACGACCCGAGGACTTTGGCTTTGGCGGCTGCTCCGCCATCACAGTGTACGGAATATTGTTGGGCAGAGAGATGGGTACCTGCATTTCAATGGAATGAATGAATGTCACTGATTATTCGGACGAGGCAATGGCTGACGGCAACCCACTGGTATATTGTAATGTTGCATGGGCATAGGCTGGGGGGTGGGCAGTCTGCTGCCATAGTTGTACGTGTTTATAGTGTTACGCGGGCCGGCGGCTATGATGGTGGCAATATGCGGGGCTGAAGATGTCGGCGCTGGTGTTATCAATGAGGTCGTGTTGACCACGTTGCTGACTGATGTCGAGGAGGGCTGCGTAGCGCTGACCACTGGACGTACGTATGTGCTGGATGGCAGTCCGGCCAGCAGGGGACCAGACTGTCTGAGCAAACTCTCCTGACTGGCGGGATGAGTGCTGAGTGACATGTTCTGCCACTTTTTGGGGGCTGGCCCGGCAAGAGATCCACCAGATCCCGAACCCGATGCGGTTGGCATCGGAATCGCACTGGTGACTGTCCGATGCAGTTGTGGGGTGGGGATCGCGTTACTGGGTGCTGGCGTTGGGGCTGGTGTCGGTACTGGTGCGGGTACAGGTGTCGCTACTGGCATCGCTGTAGCCATCGGACTGGCAATCGCTGTCGCCATTGGACTGGCAATCGTGGGCTTGGGTCTGGAGCGAGTGGGCTCTGATACCGGCGGTGGCGTCAAATCGATCGTTTCCCCCAGTCCCAGAGCGGCGGCCTGGCCGCAGGTGGTCGAGTGACGTTGCCAGTGCATCTGCTGGCAGGGATAGTCGCAGTACGAGGTGTTCCAGCAGCAGTAAAGCTGCGCCTCACGCATGCAATTGGCGCACCACTGTTTCTTCTTGGTTTCGTCGACGGCATGATTGCGTTCCAGTGTGCTCTGCTGACGCATCTCACAGATCACGCGCTTGTGCTCCTGATCCAGCGTCTTGTGCAGCTCCTTGACTATCTGATCGTTGCAGCGCTTCATATCCGAAATCTTGCGGCTGCACTCCTGCCTGAGGCGCTCGTTCTCCAGGGTGAGACTGGTGATGCGAGCCTGCAGCAAACTCTGATCACCCGCCCCCAGATCGGTAAGCGTGTCCTCGATTACGGATATGAAGTAGTCCGTGATCTGCAGGAAACAAACGAGTATTATTTGAGCGTATGGAAATTATGTTCAGGGATTGGCTAACCTTGTATGCATTGTCTTTGAGACGTTGAGAGACGGGTCCGGCATGCGATGGATAGATTTGGGAGCCATCCGACTGCAGCGGACCGCAGGGACGTGGCACCAGCTTGGGCGGACCAGAGCGAATGAGTATTTCATTCAGAGCCTGGAACGAATCAGTCTGTCGCGACTCGCTCACTAAGGTCTCGTTGGGCAGTCCGTTCAGTGCGTTGGCCAGTAGGCCGCCCGGTTCCATAGTGGGCGGCATGGAGGTGGCTTGAGAAGTGGACGTGCCCATCTGGGGCATGCTCAGACCCGCCAGCGGCGGTGGCATTGAAACACCAGAAACACTGGTGCTGGACAGTCCAGGACCAGGAGGAATGGGAATGCTTGGTAGGAACGTCGAGTTCTGGAGCGTGCTCTTGGACACGGCTCGCAGGGGAGGAACTGGTATCGTCATGGGGCTGTTCAGACTGCAGCCGTTTGCCTGCTCCACCGGTATGACCACCATGTTGGATCGCAGCAGGCTCGATGTGGTTGGGGATGTGGAGGGCAGACCACCCAACGACGGTGGCATCGGCGGCACCGGTTGAGTGGAATTCATGTTGCGGTCACTTTTTTGTCGCAGATTTGGCGGTGCAGGTGTCGGCGGCTTGCTTACCACGTACACGCCAGACACGCCAGGTGGTTTGACGACCGGCAAGGGGCCTGGCGAGTGCGCTGGCGAGGTGGAGGGTTGCCCCGACAGAGGCAGAGGGCCATATGGTACGCCCCTGCGTTTGGATGGTGCGTCCATGGCCTTAGCCGCTGCCTGCTTGTGGCTGATCTTTTGGATGGATGTATCGCCCACATAGCGCACTGTGGGCGTCTCCTCGCGCATCGGTTGCGCTGCCTCCACTCTGACGGCCAGGGGCTGTGACGGCGGTGGCGGCATTGCCTGTGGCAATAACAAGCAACGTCTGTCGATGTGGGTCTCTATCTCCGGCTCTGTTTCCGCCTCCACTTCCTCCTCACTGAGAATCTCCTCCTTGATGGTCACGAGCTCCGCAACAGCGGCAGCAGGCTGAGCCTCGACTGGTTCTGGCGGTGGTGTGGGCACAGGCACTGTAATCCTCGGTTCCTGCGGTGGATTAACCTTCTCTTTTGGCTCCTTCTGTGCTTTCTGATTTTGTGGCTTCTCTGCCGGGGGCTTATGTTTTTCCTTAGCTGGCTTAGGCGACTTCTTGGCAGACTCCTGCGGCTTGGGGGCTTCTTCCTCGGGCTCGGGTTCCGATATCACTTCGGCTTTGACTTCAACTTCGACAAATGGAATCACTTTCTTGATGAGCTGCTCCTGCTGGCGTTCAACTTCGGACCTCTTCATGCCCTTTGCTTCGGCTCTCTCCGGTGGCTGCTTGGGCGCTGGCTTGGCGGCTTCCGGAGAGGCGGCGCCACTTGTTGACGAGGCACCCTGCTGCTGTTGTTGTTGCTGCTGCTGCTCGCGTGGTATCTTGGTTATGGTCACGCCTTGACGACGTCTAACAATATCCACCCATCCGAGGGGATCGGGCGCGGTATCGTTTTGTGAATCTGAAAATTGTAAATGCATCTCCGACCCAGAAAGCAGCGACGACTCGTCCTTCTTCTCCTCCTGCTCATTAGCCCGATTACTCGCTTGCTGTTCCTGTGCCCGTGCCTGTTCCTGTTCTGCCTGCTGCTTGCGTGCATGTGTGTGCTTTTCGCGACGACTCGACTCGGAGGTGCCGCTGGTATCGCTCAAGGAATGTTTACGCCTCTTGCCAACCACCTCTGGACTCTCCATGGAGCCCGCGGCGGTGGGTGGTGTGGTCTTTGCTGCCAGGTTCTTCCGCTTGAGCAGCACTTTGCAGCGAGAGTCGGTCAGCGATTCAGCCGAACGGGGTATGACCTCGTAGTTGTTGCTCTTCTGCTTGACATGCTCACTGCTGGAAGCCGGGGCTTCTTCTAGGCCTTGAAGCTGCGGCAATGGTCGCGGTGGTGGCGGCGGTGGCAGCTTCTTGGCCGGACTAACCGACTGATCGGACTCATTTCCCGACTCGGTGGCCTTTGTCTTCTTCACAATGGACAGCTTATCGCCCGCCGTTTTGCGAATAAGAAACTGCAGCGGCGTCTTGTTGGCCGGCTCCATGGTGCGATCGACGGCCGCGTATACGCCTGGCATCATGTCCTCGACCTGCTGCTGCTCCACGACCGGATCGTAGGGGGTGCGATAGGGGGCGTAGCAGAAGGAGCCACTCTTACGCTTGATATGCTCAATATGCACCTCCACCTCAGCGATGCAGTCGACCAGTTCTCGGGCCATGCGACGACTGGTCTGTATATTGGGATTCTGCGCCGAGTACAGGAAGCAATCCTTCACGTGCACATGGGCGCGATCATGCTTGCCAAAGAAGCGCACGTTCACCATGCCCTTGTCGGTCAAGCCCATAGCCTTGGCCGGCCAGTAGGGGAATCCCTTGAGCTTGGCCCACAGCAAGAGATGCGGGTGGCGGCACACCTTCACGAACCACTCGTCGCTGGAGTTGGCATTCAGATAGCACTCGGGGCAGGTGTCTATCTCCATGGTCTCCTCGCGGCACACCTTCAACAACTGCTTCGCCGGCGTCTCCACCTTGATGTCTGCAAAACGAAAGCAATCGAAAGGTATGGTAATGCGGTCACAGTCTGAATGCTGCTCACGTACCGCCAGAGTCCAATATCAGCGCATTGTGATGCATCCACTTGACCTCGCTCATGAACGCATCCGCAGAGTCAAAGACGTTGTTCCTGATGCACTCGGTCAGGGTCTCGAAGCTCACGGTATGCACAAAGAATTTTTTGTAGGTTTCCGGCAACACATCCTCGGGCGCACGCAGCTTCGGGAGCTGCAAGTGTAGGAGAAACAGGAAATTGTATTGCTTAAAACAAGTTTCACGAATCAAGGCAGCCCCTCTGAAGATAAAGGCATGAATTGTTGCCTCTACAGGGGTTTCATGCTGCTTGAATTAACTAAAATGTAGACCAAAGATAGGAAATGGTCCATAAGAGAAGGCAAAACATAAATGGACTCTATTATGTACATGAAATTACGAGTGTTTAGCTCGTGTAATTGTTTCCAATGCCCAAAGGCTGGCAACAGACGGCGATAGCATTAAATGAATTAATTAATTAATGTTTCACGCTGCGCACATTTTAAGCATATCCAACGAGAGAAAGTCCCACTCCAAAGGCCTTCATAATTAACTTTTATTTAAATTGGTTCTTTGTGGAAACCATTGGCCTGCTTCGTGTCCGTACATAATATTACATAAATTCATAAATGCCCCCATAAAACGTACGCTAAACGGTGGAGAAACCAAGTCAGAAACCATGTGGCCACGGCAGACTTTGAAAAGAAAACAAAATGCGTGCCGATAAGTAGTGTATTAATGGGGATCATTTCCACAACTCAAACTATCAGTATCAAGTAAACTAGCAAGAAAATAATATATCATTCGCACAAGTATGCCAGTCTGTGGGGCTCTTCGCTGACCATTGAATGCAGATAAGTAAAGCAGGGCAGCGCGTACGGCACGTGAGTCGTAAAATGATTCCAAGTATCGCTTGAGCATACATGTACATATGTAGTTATAGGCTAGAGCTTAGACAGGGCACGTAGGTCATTGCAGTGGAGCCTTCTACGACGCGTTAGCACAGAGAGCGAGAGATAGAGAGAGACAGAGAGAGAGAGAGCGAGCGAAACCCAATAAACCAGCGAGTCATTTCAGGTGTCTACTCGAAGTACATTTCGTCACTGCACAGATAGTACTAGTAGGAGGAGCATGAGCGAGTAGAAGGGGGAAGAGAGCAAGACACACACACACACACAAAACGCCGCACATCGAAAAATAACACACACACACACACACACGGAGACACCCATCTCGTATATCTCTTACTTTTTGCTGTTTGTGCAAAATATTTTCGCATGATTTTATTTTAAATTGTCAAAGCAAACGCAAATGAATGTGTCGAAGATAATGAAAAATCTTGATGTGGGAATGATATACATACAAATATATATATATATATACACTTTTACATGTATATGTATGTAGCATAAACACTTACTCCGCGTAATAGCTTCATGCGTTCGAGCGAAAAGAACAGCAGCTGGCTCAGCTGATCGGCGGAGACTTCGTTGCGGCGCATCCTGCTAAATGGAAAACTTGTTTGTATAAAGAAAGATGCTTTGCATTTGCAGGGAACAAATGTCGAGGTCACCTTTTGGGGCCAGGTTCGAGCAGCAAACACTCGGGACACTTCCAGTGGCTATCGAATTTCGTCGTGGCTGGCCTTACGCAATAGCTATGGAACGAGCGAACACACTTGCTGCAAGCCTGTAAGTCTCCAGCTACCCGGCACTTCCAACAGAAAGGATCCCAACCTTTCTAAAATAAACGAAAACATGGGAGAAGATATGAAGATGATGCACCGACAGTTTTTCATTTTTTTTTTGTTGCTTACCCGTGGTGGCGTCTTGTAGATGTGCATCAATCGGTCATATACTATGTCCTCTGGCTCTGGCTCCTTCTCTGTATTCGAATTATTGAATTCCAAGAACGTCGACAGATCGGAATCTTGCTCACCGCCCGCCGAGGCGTTGATCCAATCGCTATCGACCTCGTTCACAGTTTGAGGATTTTGCTCCGATTCCGGATCACTTATGATGCTGTCCAGGAAGGCGCGTTGCTTCTTGGCAAACTCCGCGTTCTCGGTGCGTAGATTGGCGCGTTTCGCCGGGCGCTGCTCCTCATTGCTGCAGCTGTTGCTAAGCGAGTGGCTCTTGCTGCGGGAGCGATGACTGGAGCGTGTCAATTCCACAGTTGAGTTACTGTTACTATCTTCGCCATCGAGTCCCAGCTGGCGTTCTCCGCAATCGTTGGCCATTGAAAGGCCCCGCATTTGGCGTGCTTTCTTCGCCAGCCTCTGGCCTTCTGCCCAATCGGTATCTTCCCCGTCCCAGGACGGGTTTGGTATGCTCTTGCTGCGTGTCTTAAACTGATTTTTCTTGCCCTTGCTGCGGCCCCTGGAGCTGGAGGAAGACTTGCGGGACGACACCTCCTCGGCTTCCTGGGCCTCTTTCATTAGCTGATTTGTAGCAAAGCGCGACTTGCGGCGCTTCACCTTCGAGCCATCTGCCACAAAGTGGCTGAGCACCTCCGACTCCATTTGTGACTTCTGAAGGGCCACCATCTCCTTGGGCACCTTCGGCGTCTTGACCTCCTTCGGCGTTGACGATCCCAGTGGCTTTGGGTCCGCCTGAACCTGCAGGTGCGGCTGCGACGGCACCTTCGTCAGCTTCATCGTCAGCGAGGGGCCGAGTGCTGACGAGGGACTGGAGTTGGAAGAGTTGCTGCTGCCAGCAGCCGACCCCGGTGGGGCACTCACCACATACTTTTGTCGCTTGTGGGGCATACTGGGCTCCGTATCATGACTGTCCCCCTGAAGGAGCAGCACTGGCTGGGGGCTGTCGATGGCGGAGAGGGCCTCGAATTCAGGACGCGGTATCGAGTTCACGCTGTCCCTGCTGTTGCTGCTGTCCGTTTCCATGTAGATTTAGCAAAGCTCCGCTTCACTGCAAAGATTATTAACGATGATATGGGTAATACTAGAACGTGCGCCCCAATTCCAACTGCGAGAAATCACGACTGGGAGGCCGTGAACGAACAGATGTGACGAATACTCAAAATGGCAAATCTATGTATAAATGCAAACTGTCACGCTGCCCGCCTGCCTTTCGGTGCGGTGCGGTGGTGCTGCCTGCTACTAGGGCTGTGGTTGTTCTTGCGTGTTGTTGGTTTTGCCGTTTTTGCTTCTCTTTTTTTTTTTTGCGTCACCTGAGCAACTTCAGCGAGTGGCAGCAATCGCTTCTTAAAATCTGTTCAAACTACGCATCGTGGTAAGCCTTTACACACACACACTCGCACACAGAAACACATGCATTGGTACGTTCACGAGGCACCCACCTTCAGAGATGTGATCCTGGGAGGATGTCTCAATGGCCGGACGCGGCTGCTAGGCGGCTACCATGTCGGCGAAACAGAACAGCAAATATTTTGAGCGAGATTCTGGTCCCACTCTCCCGATATCGAGTGTTTTCCCTGGCGACACTGCTGCTGCTGCTCTTTTTGTTGTTGTGGCTGCCGCAATGTGTGTACATCTGCAAAATAAAATGTGCACTCGGTAAATACAAAGTTATAGTTGCTGGCTGGCTGGCCGTCAAACAAGGGAGCGAGAGAATGAAATATGTGTGTCTTACCAATTTCTTTTCTTGCGACGGCCGTCCACGAGTCGCTGTTATGGTCTCTTTTCTTGCCTCCTGCACAATGATCAAACAATTTCACACCACAATTCTGACCCAGATTGTGGCCTGTGTGCAATCGATGCACGTTTTCCTTATTTAATTGACGTTTATATTTATTTTTGCAAAACTGCCGCGAACCTGCCTTCTGCCCGCAAGAATTGTTTCCAGTGTGGCCGCATTTGGTTATCGCTGGCAGAAACATCGATGTCAGCATCGATATAGGCGGTCATATTCTTTGTTTTTGTGCAAACATCGTTTTAGTTTCGATGTTTTATTCATGTTTTCAAAAAATCCATCACTACAAAAAAGTCGCGAACTTTTATTAAAAAAAATAAATTGCCTGTTTGCACCTGCGCTATTGCGCAGATGGGCTTATGAGTGGAAAAAGCGCAGGTGCATTAATCGATGTCTCACATCGTTTCTGCCTATCGCTACAGTGCGAAACTATCAACCCGGTCAAAATAAGAAGATATAAAAATACAAATTTGGCGCGTTAAGAAATTAAATTAAATTAAACTAAACAATTAATTGATTAAAATTCACACATTTTCATTTTATCCTTTAAAAAATACTTTTAACCAATCTGATGTTTTTGTGAATTCGCCGCAATTTCGCTCGTTTTCGCCGCTACATTTGCCCTCTCTTTGCCGCGTCGCTTGTTGCTCTCGCTCTCTTAACAATGTCGTTAATTGGGGGGGAGAAAAAAGGGGGGGGGGGGGGGGAGGGGAAGGGAAAAAAAAAAAAAAAAAAAAAAAAAAAAAAAGAAAAAAAAAGAAAAAGGGGGGGGGGGGGGGGGGGGGGGGGGGGGGGGGGGGGGGGGGGGGGGGGGGGGGGGGGGGGGGGGGGGGGGGGGGGGGGGGGGGGGGGGGGGAAAAAAAAAAGGGGGGAAAAAAAAAAGGGGGGAAAAGAGGGGGGAAAAAGGGAAAAAGAAAAAAACCCCCCGCCCCCCCCCCAAAAAAAAAAAAAAGGGGGGGGGGGGGGGGAAAAAAAAAAAAAAAAAAAAAAAAAAAAAAAGGAAAAGGAAAAAAAAAAGGGAGAAAAAAAAAAGAAAAAAAAAAAAAAAAAAAAAAAAACCCCCCCCCCCCCCCCCCCAAAAAAAAAAAAAACATTTTTTTTTTCCCGCCCGGCGGGGCGGGGGGGGGGGGGGGGGGGGGCCCCGGGGGGGGGGGGGGAAAAAGGGAAAAAAAAGGGAAAAGAAAAAAAAAAAAAAAAAAAAAAAAAAAAAAAAAAAAAAAAAAGGGGGGGGGGGGCCCCCGAAGCCCCCTTCTTTAAATGTAATTCTGTGCAAATAAATCTTTAAATTGTAACACCAAATAATAGACTGACCATAGAAAATTTATTAAAAAATTTAAATTTGTTATTATTATTATTATTTATAAAATTAAATTAAATTTATTACTGCATTATCTGAAAATTCGACAAGTATATTTTTTAAATTTACTTCTTTAATCCCAATCAAAAAATACTAAAAAGTACGAAATTTTGTAGACTTATTTCAGGGAACAGTCCATCAAAATAGATGATTAGAGCCCAGTTTGAATCTAAATAAAAATACGCAAAGAGCAGCAACAGAAATATACCCAAAATTACTTGGTATCTTGTATGTACATATATATGTATCTATGAATTCTAATTAGGTAGATTTAGACACATCCATAGACAAGCAGGAATATATGGCTGGCTTTTTGGTGAAATTATTTGTGGTTTTACACGATTATCACGTTCATCTGAATATACATATAATAATTAGGTTAATAATGAACGGAAATGCAGAAACATTTGTATGAATTTGAAATGTGGCTAACGGCCTTGAAACTATAATTCATAAATCAAGTGGGTGGGAAGGTACACACACACACCGCAGAAAGAAGCCTTTAATCACAATTTGGAGAAGTTTAATTAAAATTAAAAGGCATATTAAAGGAGGACTAGGATGATACTACTACACCACTCGAATAGATATGAACATAAAACCTGGGGGGGCTAACAGGTAAACAAGTTATGAATCCCATTACATAAACCATTTCCCAGGCTGACAATCCCCAGCCGTAGAAGGGTCCTGTTGCCCCACATTCCCACCCACAACCCATAATAACGCACAGTCGAACCCAGGGAAAACGGTTGAACTTCTACAAACGGTTTTCATATATTCATGGCAAATTATAATGCTTCGGGGGGCATAAAAAGCGACGAAGAAAGACAAAAGTTGGCCCATTCATAAGGGTCACACTCGGGCAGACAGCGACAATGTCGGAGTGGCTGCTGTCCCCGTCCCTCGTCCCTCTTGCTGCTCATTCTACTGCTCCACGTGTAAACATGCATCTCCATATATCAATAAATTGAGATTACTTACATAATTTTGTATTCCAAAATCCAAAAACTGTTAAAAAAGTTGCCATGGCCCCGTTTTTTATACGATTGAGGGAGCGTGTTGTATGTCGGTGCCGCCAGTACACGAGTACATTGTGGAAAAAGTTTTTCTTTTATTTTTTGTTTGCTTGTTTGCAAGGGAGAGATTGTGTATGGTGGCTGGAGTGGAGAGGGAGTGCTCCTCGGGGAGCAATTCGGTTAATATTCGGAACATAAATTTGCAAAGGAACCACTTTAATCAATGGCCAGGTAGCGGATAGATGCCTATCCGCTACGGAATGGCATATGAGGGTATACCCAGTACATCTGTATATGGCAAACTTACTCCAGAGGTGCAATGTACCATTAAGCAGCAGCAGCAGCAGCAGCAGCGGGTATTGATTTGCTGAGTGAGGAGAGACAGAGGGCAAAACAATGTGACGGTGGATAGGCTTTCGCTGCTCCATTCACAATTCCCATTCTCAATCCCATCCGACGCCACACAGACAGGCATAAATTGCCGAGCACTTGGCCGGCCGGCCAGCCGGCCATCCGTCCAGCCGCGGGGTTTCCACAAAATCCGGACATTGTTTGTTTTGCTGGCGGAAAAGAAGATGAAAATAGAAAATGGGAATAGGATGGAATGGAATGAAAGACTGTAGAAGGGATTGGGATTTGCCTGTGGGGGGGGGGGATGCGTGCCATTCATAACACATATTGAATTTCATTTTGTGGACACTGCGCCACAGGCGGCACTGAAGTGGAGTGGACACTCGACACCGACGGCCCTGCCTCAAGCGGCAGATAACTTGCATAATCGTTGCCATGGACTTAAAATTTATAGAAAGCTTTGCAGTCACCTGAGTCATGGGCTAGTCGAAAGCCACTGCCTCCCAATCTACTGACCAATTATTGAGCCGTTGCCAAATGCAAGGGCATAAAATGAGCGCACATATTGCCAGGACGAGGGCCTCCAGAGAGAGTGAGAGAGGGAGAGAGGTGGAGGCGTAGGAGGCGTAGGAGTTGGCATTGGCTTTAGATTGAGGTTGGCTTAGATGTGGGAGGTGGAAACGGAGCAGCGGGCCAGAAACAAGAGCAATAACTGTTTGGCAAACAGATTTATTTTCCCTGCCTACACAAGCAGGAGCGGATTCCGACACTTTGAGGGACCCGTCCCCCGATCCGAGCCCCAATTTGTAATTTAATTAAATATTTAGCTGGGGGAAAAAACTCCCCAAAGTCCGCCCTTCGCCATTATTATTATTATTGCCAGCTGTATGCAATGTATGTGCCAAAAAGTTTGAAGAACCCTTAAAGTTTCGTAAAATGTTTTAGGAACTTTGCTAATTCATTCCGCCTGCAGTTGCTCCACGAAATGAGAGCCAACTTGAAGTGGTTATCCTCGTTACCAGAGCATCGCAGGCCCCAAAGCCATTTCCTAGATTTTCACACACACATTTCCTGGAGCCCTGGAGCGCCCCAACCAATTACCCATTTAGGAAAAGGCCGCTCCTGGAGGCGGCTCAGGGCTCACACAAATATTGGTTTCCAACTTTCATTGCCACTGCGGCGGGTGGAGTGCGGCGGCGGTGTCGGTGGCGGTGGCTCCAGTTGCTGCTGCTGCTGCTGCTGCTGCTGCTGCTATTGGACCTCCATTGAGTGCATGTTGTGACTGCACCGCATCGCCCACGTCTCAATCCGCCTGCAGTCTGACCACAGACACCTCCCATCGCCTCCCACTGCCCATCGACCCCACACCCCACACCCCACACACGTCGCTTGGGCCGCGTGGGTGCAGTGCATCATTTTTGCATTAGAAAAGTGCAGGGCCATGCCATGAAAACTGTAAATAACCGGAATAGTAGAAGCCTAAGAGTCGGGGGGTAGGTCCCAATGGCTCTGGTGCCTGGTGCCTGGTGGCTGGGCCAGCCGCAAATTATGCTTGTCAAAAATGAATGTTGCATACGTAACGCTGAGAAACAGAAGCAGCAGCAGCAGAACAGTGGAACGAGTGCGAGTGAGAGTGCTGCTGATGCTGCCAGAGGTGGTCGTGAAGCCAGAGAGGCGAGGGTGGCCAGAGGGACAGCGTGGGAGGTCGCATTTAGAAAATCGCAGCAGTTTGCGGTTGTCGTAGTCGTCGTCGTCGTCGTGGCAGTACGTGCTCGATGCGTGCCAATCCCTGGAGGGTTTCCATCCGTAACTGTGGCAGCAGTCGATGCCAATGGCTATGGCTATGGCTACAGCTTGCTCTTGGCTCTTGGCTCTCGGGTCTCGGGTCTCCGGTCTTGGTGGTTTTGTGGATTTTGCCCGCAAACGGATGCTGCTGACGTTGTTGCTGACGCAGATGCAGATGCAGAATCAGACGCAAGCAGGAGGAACTTTTGACTAAATGTGCTCTCCGAGTGCATTAAGATGAAAATGTTATTACGACTGGGGGGGAATGGCACTGAGGATGGTGGGTGCTGCTTCTTCCTCTGCAGTCATTATTGAAGCATTTGTGTGAGCACAGTGGCGCACAGTGGGAAGCGGAGATTAGGCGCGGAAATGCTCCAAATGTTAGTTTGGTTATCGCTTGGAATGGGCCATCACGATGACGATGATGGGGATGGGGATGGGGTGAATGGTTGGAAAATGTCGGAAATTTGATATGCCAAAAACCGTTTACGATCAACAAGTGATACGGAGCAAGTGCGCCGAGAAATTCCAAAGGAGGGACGCTCTGGCAAATTATGCAGATTGCCTGATGATGAAACTGTCGATAGAAACTATGAGGAGGCTGTGTGTGGCTGTGTGGACAGGGCACAGAAGGACAGCTGGCAGAGGGGTGGACTAGGATATTGAGGAAGTTTGGCTGCACTGTTTGGCGAGAACTTTCCCATCAAGCGCGCAGGAAGAGACATTGATTTGACTGCACGACAGGAGAAGAGCAGAGAGAGAGGGAGAAGTTTTCCATTATGGAAATGTCATCAAATCGATTTTCTTCTTTTTCCTGCCGCCTGCCACAGCCCTCTCGCCCTCTCTCTCCCTCTCTCTCTTGTCATTTCATAATGAAGGTAAATGGAGGGGGGAGGGTGGGGTATTGCAATTCAGGAATAGTCGTAAAATATTTTACATACTGACCAAGTCGTATTCCGTATTTTCCGTAGCATTGAAAAGGCCAAAATGGGGTATTTGCTTTTATTAAATTTATTCATATTTCTCTTTGTGTGTCGTCTGTTATTATTATTATTATTATTATTTTTGCAATAATAACTGTTATTATTATTATAATTATTCCATCTATTTATAATATAGTGTGTAATAAAGCTTGACAATCTATTAATGCTATTACAATGTATGTATTTCGGTTATATTGTTCGTTAAATGTTGTTTTGTTTGTCCTCCTGTACTGTCCTGTCCTATCCTGTCCTGTCCTGTCCTGTCGTGCCATATCCTGTTATGTTTTCTGTGACTGTCCTGTCATGTTTGCTTTACCCACTGTCCTACTGTCCTGCTGTCCTGCACTTTCCCCCGTCCCCCCCACCATATTATTCCGTTCTCGTTGACAACTGTATTCGTGTGTCATGTCGGGATGTTTTTGTATTTGTGTATATATATATATATATATATGTATTTATGTCACTTTGAGGATAATATTAAGTGTGTAGAGTGTGTGGAGAGGGGGGGTTTTTTGTTGTTGTTGGTATAGTCGAGTGTGTTGTGAGTTCTAGGGGTGGGGCTGTGGGTTTTTAAAATTTGACTAATTTCGGCTTTCAATGGAATCCAAGTTAAAATTTCTTTTATTTCTTTTATTCTGTGTTTCTGTTTTTCTTGTTTTTAATGGTATCGTACAAAATTTGTTACTACTATTCATCATCTGAATTTAATTTATTTTCAGCAGCACTTCGCACAGCACAGCACAGCACTCGTAAAAAGTTAATTTTATTTTCCCAGGCATTCTCGCACTTTGCTTTTTGGTCGGTTCTATGGATGTAGCTTTAGCTGTGGCTGTAGCTGATGCAAGCTGCAATCGGATGCGGACTCAGATACAGATACACAGATACGCAGCTCGGCACTCTACACTGGATCCCATGGATCCCATGCATCTGTGAATCTCTGCATCTGCTTGTGTTTTCCATTTGCATTCACGCAGAGTAATTAAAATTATAGTAACATTTCCATCATCATCCGGCATCGCAATGCCCCGGAAAAACGAGCGGCAAACCGGGGGGAACCAGGAACCAAAAAGCAGGCCGCGGGGTAGCCGTGTGTGCCGTGCGTGCAGTCATTTGAACGGGCAAATGCAGATGGGAAATGGAAAATGTAGCTAAAAGCATGGTTTAAATTTTTGTCTAGTTAGGTTCTCTCCACTCTACACCACTATACCCCATTCACCCACCCATTACTCTCTATTTGGCTGTCCGTTTACACTTGTCTCTTTTGCTCTTGCTTTTTGGCGGTTTTCATTTGTTTTTTAATTAGTTAAAACGATTTAAAATGAATAAAATATCGCCTCTGCCTGCGGTAGTCATTACTGCATGGGAGACAGAGAGAGAGGTGTGAGAGGTGTGTGTACGATGTAATTAAAATTACCTATGTATGTACAAATCTACTGGGAGGTAGGATCCATCCCCATCCGCCGTCCGCCATCCGTCATCTATTGGAGAGGACTCCGCGGCGCGGACAAACAATAATACTTTGATTAAAACATTCACGAGTAATATGAACAAAACTCGCAGTGTTGCGCTGTCAAAAAGGAGGTACGCATATTGTGGAGGCTAAGGATTCTGAATAAATCGTAGGATGTTTGCTTCTGTTTGCTCTTCTCTGCTCTGCTCTCTATGTGCCTATGTGCAAATTTGCTTTCGGTTCAGTTCATAATATCAAAAAACAAAAATTCCCTTACCACGTCAGCAAACATTGCACACAAAAACAACACAGCAGCAACACAGCAGCAACATAGCAGCAACAGCAGCAACAGAGGAAAAATTAATTGGGTCGTGGAAAACCAAACCCCGTTAAAGGAATCCCCTGGTGAAGTGAAGTAGTGCAAATATTTGCCAGAATACTTTCCCCATAATTATTGTAGTAATTCATTGCATTTATGTGTTTAATTATTCCACACACACATACACCCACACACACACAACAAATGCATTCATCGCGTATAAGCATGGATGGGTGTGTGGGTGTGGGTGTAGGTGTGGATATGGGTATGTGGCCTGTGGGCCTGTGGGCTGTGGGCGTGGTCATGTAAGTGGAATTTATCATGTACTTATCATTGACTTCTATAACTTACATTTTACATTATCAAGCTCGAATTTGAAACGTTCTACATACACAAAAAATACTTATAATGCGGCCTCTTTCTCTCCACTCTCTTGTTTTTTCTTTATATAGATCTTACACCAATATAGATATAGATATACATATATATATATATGTAAGTACTTGTACATATGATATACACAGAGAGAGAGAGTGAGAGCTATAGGGTATCTCTGGCATCGGCCTCTCGAATTTACCCAATTACATTTTGATTTTATTTATTTTCCATTTTCAATTTTCCATTTCTTTCTACATTCAATTAGATTACACACAAATCCATATATATGCAGAGAGTATATATATACGCTATATATGCTATATGTTTATGGTAATGCCGTACATACATATATTATTTAGATTTTAGCTGACATCGCATTTGGTCTACTTGCAGGAGAAAGTGTGTGGGACAGTGATGGGGCAAAGAACTAAAAGGAATTCTTCTATAGGTATTCTAGGATAGGAACGGATTAACTCTACATGTATGTATATGTATGTTTGTATATGTATGTATGTATGTATGTATGGGTAGATTGACTAAATGACAACTGCTAACAATACAAATCATAGGTACTAGGTGTTTGGCTCTGATATCGGAAGAGTACAGTAAAGTATCCTCGAAACAATCCCCACAGTTACTGCTGGAAACAATCTCGTGCGAGGATAACAGACTAAAAGTAGATTTGATTTTAAAAACATTTTTTGGCACGACTCGATGCGATTTCTATATACGATATACAATATAAATATGCTGGTAGGTAGGTAGGTAGGTAGGGAGTATAAAATGATTTTGATTTAAAAGTCCTTAAGCATTTAGGAATACATTTACATATGTACACAAAGAAGGAACTATGTTAAAGGGGGTCCTATGACTGTCTGTCTGTCTGTATATATTCATTGTACATCGATGTTGGCTATAGTTTAGGTGTTTTTTTTTTTATATCTGGTATAATAATAGATCTGCTAACAATATATAGTATGTATGCCATATGTTATACTACGATGATGCTATGAATACGATTACCACATCCTGCCCTAATCCTATTCAGTGTCTGATCTCTAAAACGTAATTCAATAAAATACTCCGCCAACGAACTCTAGCACCCCAGAAGCAAATGCAAATCTTTCTCTCTATGGATTCCCTATAGCTGACATACATATATATAATTCCGACTATACTATACACCTTATGTAGATCAGTTTTGGTCGCTATAATCTCTAGCATACATTATCTTTTTGTTTTCTTTAATTTACAGAATTCAGTGTGACAGAAGGGTACAACTATTCGGTTTCTAGCTAGGCATGGGGGGACACAGTATGGGGAGATCTCTAAATGGAACACACACATATGCACATACATAAGTATATAGAAGTATACATATACATATATAAGATGTGCTGCGATTCAAAGGAGGAAAATAAACGAACTCTCTTCTCGTGGAAGAGTGGGGCTCTCGTGGGGCGGCTGTGGCAGTCAATAGATTGTTTCGGTTGCTATATAGATACGTAGTAGAGTAGGTTTCTATATATTTGTGTGGATCCGCGTAGACTATCGTTGAACTGATATGAAAGAAACGATTGCCAAGGGGTTGGGTCTCTGAATGTGAATATTAATCGGAATCTGGATGATTTGGTTGGGGGACTGGCTGTGGGACTGGCTGTGGGTTCTGTGTTCTGGGGCACTGGGGTCTATGGGACTTATTTACACTTGCGTTCCGTAATACTATAGGGACACAAACTCTCCTCTGTCCTTGTCCTGGCCCTGGCCCTGGCTGGACTCCGTCTGGTGGTGCTGCTGCTGCTGCTGATGATGATCCTGCGACTGCTCTCCCCCGACGGACTGCAGCTTCTCGGACTGATTCTGGTTCTCGTTGAAGAGCGTCTCGTTCTCGTATTGCTCCTCGTCGTCGGGCAGCGAGAGCGTGGAGTTGCCCAGGCCCCCGCTGGCCGTAATGCGTCGCCCCATGTTGTCGTACTTGGGGTACGCGGAACTGTCGCCGCCGCCGCCGCCACCACCGATGCCCCCACCGCTCTTGCCACAGAGCGGTCGCAGCGGCGTCACGTCGATGGGTGGCGTCTGGCAGGCTGAGGGCTGTGGCGGGCCGTTGTTGATGCAGCTGGCGCAACTGGCGGCGGAGACGGGCGGCATGACGGTCGCACTGGAGTTTGGGTGGTGGCACTGCACCACAGCCGTCACAGCGGGCGGTGGCGGAGGCGGCGGCAGCTCCATGCCATTGCTCTGGCCACCGCCCACGCAGTGGTAGGTCGTCTGGTGGCTATGTGCGTCCACATATCCGCTGGCATCCAGGTTATAGGTCACGATCTCGTCGTGCGGATAGAGGCCTGTGTTGACGCCTTGCTGCTGCTGTTGATGTTGCTGCTGCTGCTGCTGGTGATGCTGCTGCTGCTGCTGCAGCGAGGTATCCTTCTTGAGGATGCCACGCCGTGTCGCGTGCCGTGGCAGGGTGGCGAACTGCCCCTCGGGCACACTCACCGTGCCAGCGCCTCCATCGCTGCACTGCACGTCCTGCATCCGCTTGGGGATGTTCAGCAGGTCCGGATACATGTTGAGGTCCGCTCCGTCGAGCATGTCCTGCGTGACGGAGACGCGAATGAAGATGTTGCCCCCGAAGGCGGGATTCGGCCCAATGTTCGAGCAGAACTCTGGCGGCGGTGGAAAGACGCCCACGTTCAGGGGAAACTCCTCGGAGATCTGGCCGGGATGCGTGTGGCTGTGGGTGTGGCCCGCCATCGACGTGGGCACGGTGATCATGCCGCATGTGGGATCCTTAACGGTCATCAGCTGCTGCCGCATATGCTGACCCATGCCCTGGCCCTGCCCCTGCTGCTGCTGCTGCTGTTGCTGGTGCTGCTGGTGCACCAACATTGTGCCATGGCCCAGGCCCGAGCGGTGATTCTCCACGGCATGGATCTCGATCTGGTTGTAGCCCAGACCCGCCGACTCTGCCTTGTTGATGCTGATCGAGTTGGGATTGTTGTCGATGCCGTAGCTGTCGCCGCGATCATTGGTGGTGGTGGTGACGCTGGAGTCCAGCAGCTTCTTCTCCTGGTCGTTGAAGCTGACGCTGGACTTGACGCCCGCCTTGTTGGCGTGCCGGTGCTGGCGGGTGGTGCGCTTGCAGAGGCACACCACAAACGAGATGGCGATCAGCAGGAAGACGGTGCCGAAGATGCCCATGATGAGGCCAAAGTACCAGAACGTCTCCGGCGTCTTCACCAGCACATGCTGCACTATCTCGCTGAGGTAGATGCTGATGTTCTGGGTCATGCTGCCGATGGGATTGGCGCCCGTGCAGGCGTACGTGCCGGCGTCCAGGCTGCTCACATTGAAGACGGTCAGGTTGCTCCACAGCTTGTCGGAGGCGATGCTCTCCGTGTCGAAGAGCACATTGTCGTTGTCCAGTATCTTGCCGTTCAGCTCCCAGGCCACCTCCGGCAGCGGATCCCCGTACACCAGGCAGCTGAAGGTCGTGTTGCTGCCAATGTCGATGTTCTGCACCTCCTCGTTGTTGAAGATCTCGACGCGGGGCGGGCAGCCGAACAGCTCATCGTCCACGCTGTCCCAGGTGCGATCCTTCTGCGCTGGTGGACCCTTGCACACGAGACTGACGGAGCTGAGGCGGCTGGCCACGTACCAGGAGCGGAACTTGCGCAGCTTGCAGTTGCACTGCCAGGGATTCTCCTCGAGGGAGAGCGTCTTCAGGTTGGCCATGTGCTGGAAGACGTACTCGCTGAGGCTCTCCAGCAGGTTGTTCTTGAGGTTGAGGAACTCCAGCAGATTGAGGTTGGCCAGCGACATGGGATCGATGTACGAGATGAGGCAATCGTGCATGTCCAGGGTGCGCAGGTGGGGCAGGATGGGGAACTGGTAGGCGGCCAGTCGCTTCAGCGGATTGCCATTCAGGTAGAGTATCCTCAGTCGGTCGTTGCCCATGAACGTGTCCTTGTCGAGCATCTCCAGCTTGTTGTCCGACAGATCGATCTCCACCAGGATCTTCAAGCTGCGAAAGGACTCCTTGTGTATGTACTGCACCTCGGACTTCTTCAGGTAAATCCGCTGCAGATTGAGCAGCCCCAGGGCGGAGAACTCCTCCCGGTTCAAGTACGGTATGTGGTTATCGTTCAGCACGAGCACCTGCAGCTCCGTGCTCAGAGTGCTCGGGATGCTGGTCAGCTGCAGGGAGCTGCAGATGGCCGATTTCTTGCCATTGGTCCACTTGCAGGTGCAGTTGGAGGCGCAGCTCAAGGACCAGTCATCGGCCCACGTCCAGGCCACCAGGCACAGCACCAGCAGACACCAAACTAAACAAAGCGGGAGAGAGAGAGAGAGGGATAAAGGATAAGCGGATGAAGTTGACGGGGTTGACTCCCCACCCGTACTCACCTGGTCGACGCATCGTGGTCGTAGTCGTAGTCGTGCTGCTCCTTCGATCCATGCTGTGCATTTTGGATGCTTCACTTCTCCCCCCGTCTCCTCTCCTCTCTCTGGGAGGGCTTCGCTCCCGCTGCGTTCTCTGTGTCCTCTGCCAATTGATGACCCTAAATGGCTTTGGCTGATTCGATTGCCATGTTTCACATCATGTTGCCGCCGCCAGCAAAAAGGTCTCCATTACTCCACATTACTCAGCACTTTGGCTACACTTGCCACAAAGCAGAAGGATCTGCAACACCCCAGTATCTTATTGATTTTGCTTGCTGCTTGCTGCTTGCTCCTTCTTCTCTTCTCTCCTCTGTTCTGTTCTGTTGAGTTCTGTGTTCAGTTCTTTTCTTTTAATTTGCTGGCATAAAGGAAAGTTAGTCCTGCCTCTTTTTGTGTGTGCTTGCCACTGACATCGGCAGCTGGGGCTGCGACTGGGGCTGGGACTACGACTGGGACTGGAACTGTGTGTGGCCGGGGGTATCCTTTCTTTTAAATTCTTTAAATCTGCAAAATGTAAAAGAGAATCCGGTATTAGCGAGACGAACAGACGACCACTCCAACAATGCCCATTGTAGTTGGTAGTTCCTCCAATGGCTTCAGTCTTAGCTACCCCTCTCCCTCAACCTCCCACCCCCCACATACACTTGCCCCGTTTGAAATCTCTGTTTACTGAATATAGCTTTGGCTCTGAATAGAATGGAGAATGAGGAATGGGGATGAGGAATGGCAGAATGGCTGTAGGAATGGTATCTGGGGATGTGCCGTGCCTGCGAAATGGATGCAGGTTTAAATCGCCTTTCAACAACATTTTGTAATTTGTTGTACGTCCAGCTGGACAACACAACAAAGCACCAAACCACAGGCACAGGCGCAGGCACATCTACATCCGCAGCCACACAGAGAGGTGGAGGGGCCCGGCCCTGTGCTCTGACATTGGCATGGAATCGACATCGGCATCTTTAGAAAATCAGCATCAATAGCCTGTCGAATGCTTTTTACTTTTATGTTCCTCTTTCTCTCCACTCTCTCTTCACTCTCTCTCCACTCTCCACTCCCTGTGTGCTCTCGTTTTTTGTTTGTACTTCCGCCAGGAGCGGTTCAGCAAGGCAGAGAGGTGACTGCCTTGGCTTTCGAGCATTCAAATTCCGTTTCTCCAGTAATTTTAATCAACGGAAAATGCCTTATTTCATTTAACTCCCACAACTACGCTGGAAAGAGCTGCCCCACAAGCAGGTTTCCTGGAATTTGGATTAGAGGACCTGCCCACCCCGCCCCCACACACCGCAACAAGCTGAATCCGCTCCGCTGCTGGTTCTGGGGCGCAGAGATAGGGAATGTAACGGAGGAGGATGGCGGATGGCGGATGGGCATGAGGGGTGAGGGATGGGGGATGGGGAGGACAGACAATGAAAACGTAAAAAGCTCAAAAGGTTCATTTGTCAATTTGCCATTTGAATTTGTATTTGAGAATTCACTTGGCCGCTTTTGCCGCTTTGTCCTGCAGCCACACCAGTCAGAGCCCTGCCCCCCTCCACCCCACCGCGCCACTCTTTGGGGCAACCTACAAAGCACACAGCCAAACCTTGGCAACAGCCTCAATTTTTGCTCTCCCCGGTCGGTCGGTCGGTTGGTTGTGAGGGGTGAGGGGCAGGTCCTGGCAATGCGGATAATATTTCCTGTGTCAGTGCACCAGCAGTTGGCAGTTGCAATTGCTGACTTGCCACAGCGCTCGACTGCTATCCATCCCATCTCCCATCACCCATCGCCGTCTCCCCTCCCCTGCCTGCCCTGCTACATCGTCGACAGTTTTATATTTGCTGCTCTCTATGAGGAGGAGGAGGAGAAGGAGGAGGAGGCACTCGTGGTGCTCGTTGTGGCACGGCACTCTGGGCTGCAACTGGAACCGCATAGGCATTGGCGGGGGGCACGGCACTCACAGGTTCGGTTTTGATATTCATAAATGTGGCACAGTGGGCCAAAAAAGCAAAGCTAATTTGATGGCCAATTGCCAAGACGGGGCCCCGTAGCCAGAATATTAAAAAAATATTATGCCATGGAATACGAGTATGTTGCAAGCGGACTCGGACTCGGACTCGGAGTCGGACTGTGCAACTGCAGCCGCAACTCGTAAAGCAAATCAATTAACTGATGCCACACAGAAAGAGGCAGATGGGGAGGGGGTGCGAAGCAGATACTAGTAGATACTCGTGCAGCGGATGATGATGCCCCACAAAGATACGAGTTATTGTCTGTCTGGGCTGAGAGGCCTCTGTGGCCTCTGGCAGGTCCCTGGCTATCATCGGGCTAATCTCTTGGAAGAAATTGCTGGTAATTGTTAACCTGTAAATGAAGGACTCTGCAATGGGCATTTTGGCAATTTGATTTCGAATCCCACAGCCAGATAATCTCTGGCAGCTAAGCTGAAAATGTTTGCATCTTTGGATTTGGAATTGGATTTCGCATCTGACTTGACTTTGCTTTCTTCGGTCCACAACTCGGATGCACCAGTGCATCAGTTCTCGCAGCAGAGTAAATCAGCAACAATTGGAACCGACTCGCAGCTCCATGGCAGGCATTCAATATGGCAGGGAGAACTGGCATTGGGTTTTACTTTACTTATTTATTAATATACGTACGTACAATGCCATGTGAAATGAAGTAAATGGAAATTGAATTTGCTTGTCTCAATCTCCTAGAAAATGCCAAGCAATTTGCGTAGTCACAAATTGAGGGGGGCCCAAGGATATCCGCATTTGAATGCAGCAGAATATTGGTGGAGGAACATAAAATAACTGAATATCTAAATGGATGTATTTATTATTATCATAGCAGGGAATCAGTTTTAGTGAAACGAAAAGTACTGTACAAAAAAAAATGGATTATCTTCTGAGCAGAGAGTCAGAAATATGTAATTTGTTTATTTTGCCCGCTTAGTTGTCGCAGAACTATGCCTGTACTGTGCTCTGGTGCCCTGGTGGCCTGGTGGCCTGTTCCTGGAATCCTTTCGTCAAACGACATATTTAATTCATTAATTATGCCCGCTAGTTGAACCAATAAAAATTCGTCAGAGTGTACAAACGCAATTCACTTGAAAATTGTTTATAAATTATTTATAATTTAAATGTATTTACGTTTGTCAAATGAAATTCATGTAATATGAAAACAATTGATTACGGATGCGAGCGACAAAGAGTTTGCATATTATTTACATATGTGTCGAATTAATTACGGACAAAATAAATATTTCTCCACTTAATTCGTGCTACTAGTATGCCCTTTCGGATGGCATATCAAATTTAATTTACATGTATGCCTTAATCTCTGCGAGGCCATTTATTATATCTTTCATGGCCTTTCATGGACACTCTTTTGGCGGACAAATAAATTGTCAAATTTTAGTGTCTCTCTCTCGCTCTCTATATATATTTTAGGTTTTACTTTCTGGTACAATTCCATTTGACAATTGGAATTCAATTTCAATTTGTTGGCTGGTGGAAAAGTTAACTAATCCGCCCACTCGACCACGCCCCCCTCATTTGAAAAACTTCATCAAATGTAATTGTCGGAAAACAGCAAAAAGTCCTTGTCCAGGGCCAACAATTGGAGGCCATCCATGCTCCATGCTGCATTACCAAATTAAAAACAAAAACTAAACTAACTTTTCTGCTTTTTATTTTTAACTTTCATTTCTCTCTCTCTTCTCTCACTCTCTAAATTTTTTCTTGTTTCTCTCGAAACTTTGCTTCCTTTGCCGTCATCCTCCTACCATGGTGCGTAAACAGAGGCGTGGCAATCACTTCTTTTATTTTGGGGGGCGAGCTGTTTTACGGTGTATGATTTTAATATAGAATTTTATTTCAATTAAATTATTATGAAATAATTAGTTTAAAATAATTTTAATTGCGCTCTAAAATTAGAAATTATTGTCCTAGATAAATGATTGTATTTAAATACTACGTCTTGCGCTCAGAAATCATCACACTTGGCATATACTTGGTATGTATATTTAATAATTGACATTCCATTTATGGAAAATACTTCTTTAGATATTTTGAAGATATTCTCTTTGAAAAGAACAACGAGCCTTTTTTTTCATATATTTATTTCTAACATTTTCAGTTTAAAATTCCTAAGAGGAATTTGTGGCAACGGAGACGAGGCGATCCCCCCATGGGACTGAGCCTCTGTTTCGTATGCAAATCGTTTCTTTGCCGCCTGGCTGCGCTGCTCTTTCTCGCACTTCCTGTCTTCAGCCACGCCCACTGGCACGCCCACTCTCGCCCATGCCATTGTTTTGTTATTGCATAAGCACGTGCGAATGTGCGTGCAAATGCAAATGGCGATAGAAAACTTTTTAAATTGAGCAAACATTAACAAAAAGGCAAATCTAGAAGTGGATCAGGAAGGGCAGGGCAGGGCGGGGCGGGGCAGAACCTCGACTTTCCAGAGAGAGTGTTTTAAGGAGGGGGTTGCGGGGGTAGGGTATGTTACCCGAAGAGCAGGTTGTTCTTATCGCCTTGTCATCGGACATCGATGTGGACTCTTGGCCTATTTGTTTTTTGTTTCATGCCTTGTTAGGACTCTCCAGTCATTCAAGGACAGCCCCACCAAAAGTGTAAACTGCAAAGTTTTGTGCAGTGCCCCAGCGGGGTGGGCGAGGGGGAGGCGGTGCTTTGACTTGGCACCATTTTTCCGTGCAACAAATCCGCACATAATCGGAAAATGTCACAGAGCACAAGAGAAAAAACACGCAGAGTGGAAAGAAACAATATTAATGGCACTTGTCTCTGCCTCCGGGCCGAGATTAGATGACGCTGACGTTGACCGTGCTGAGAGTTTTATTGCAGTACGGAAATGGTTTTCATAAATACACCGAAAGTTCACACAGGCGCCCAGGGGGAAGGGGGGAGGGGGCAAAGAGCGAAAGAGAGGCAACAAGACAGACGGAGAGAGACAGAGGCAATGCAATTATGTGGA